GAGAGAGAGAGAGAGAGAGAGAGAGAGAGAGAGAGAGAGAGAGAGAGAGAGAGAGAGAGAGAGAGAGAGAGAGAGAGAGAGAGAGAGATTATTCTGATTCACATTCTTCCGTTCTGATTTCGTAGATTTTGGTCAAACCATTATTGCTTCCTTTGCCAAGTTTGGCACTTTGGGAGACTCTACTGAGAGTGTGAGTTCGCCCTAGTGTCGATTTTGTTCTCTTTAAGTGTTGTTTGAGAGAGTTGAAGAGTGTTGCCCGATCAGAATTGGAGAAAACAAAATAGCGGTGGCCACGGGAGACTGGAACATGTACGATGGCAATGTTGCTTGCCTGGAGAGGAACACACACAATTTTATGACATAGGTAACGGAAACAGTTTTCTTCACCTCAGCTGTAATTTTATCAGAATTTTGTATTCTTTGTTAGTGTTGTTGATTGTGAGAGATCAGAAAGCTGTTTCAGGAGTGGAGGTGTTATTAGAGACCAGAGAGGGAGGGAGATGATCTGGTGTGGCTATATATTTGTGAGGCGAAGACGCCGCGAAGTTTGTTGTGTATGTTTTGTCCTGCATTACGTAGTTCACTATTTTAGTATTTTAGTATTTTTTGTGTTATTCGCTTTTTCCCAAATATCAAATTTGCAGTCTGTTATTATTGGAAGGTCATGACCACACATTTGACCATATGTTTGACCACGTGTTTGACCACGTGTTTGACCACGTGTTTGACCACGTGTTTGACTGCATGTCTGAGCACACGTTCGACCATACATTTGATAACACGTTTTGATCACACTGTTGACCAAAATTTTGACCGCATGCTTAACCACACATTTGACAGCAACATTTGAGCACATTCACCACAAATTTGTCTACAAGTTTGGCCTGAGCTGTTCTTCCTTTTGAAATAAAATGTCTACCGCACAGCATGTAAGCCTTGAGGAGGCATTCGCAATGAGCTCACTTTATAATAATGGCCATGTCTTCTTCTCCTTCTTCGTCTTCGTCTTTGTCTTCGTCTTCGTCTTTGTCTTCGTCTTCGTCTTCGTCGTCGTCGTCGTCGTCGTCTTCCTCCTCGTCGTCGTCATCGTCATCGTCTTCGTCTTCGTCTTCGTCTTCGTCGTCGTCGTCCTCGTCGTCCTCGTCGTCGTCGTCTTCGTCTTTGTCTTCGTCTTCGTCTTCGTCTTCGTCTTCGTCGTCGTCGTCTCCTTCCTCCCTACGCCTGCCCTTCCTCCTCCTTCCCGCCGCCTCCTTCCTTGTCCTTTGTCCCATCCTCCCTTCCTCCCTCCAGCTGTTCTGTCTGTCTGTCCCTTTCTCCCTCCATCTCTCCATGCCTGTAAATAGAGCTTGCCATCGAAGTTCCATTCTTGTCTACTCCCTCCCTTCCCCCCTCCCTCCCTGCCATGCTTCCGTCACTTTTTTGTCCTTCTTTCCTTCCTGCCTTTTCTTCTACTGTTTCTGCTCCCTGCCCCATGGCTCCTCTTGAATACAGGTCCAATCTCCAGACATGGTGTGGGTAGGGGCTTTAGCATGTGCCCCCAGGAGCAGATGCCTGGAAATTCGGCGAATTGCGATTTCATTTCCCAGGTGCATAAGCTGGGTCGGATAGTTGAGTCAGAACGTTGTTTCTGCAGTCCTCCACCTGTGGATTAGATCCAAGCGATTTTGCGTGCTACTACTGTTTTCCCCCGAACAGAACACACCCTCATCACGACTGTATAAGACCGGAAAGATGTCCTCTATATGTTCACAATCAGGGTGCATCATTGTGTTTTGGAGAAGACAAATGTCTACTAACTGGATCATAAGACTTGACACCATTCCTCGATCCGTAAAATGGGTTAGAGCATTGTCCCTGAAGTCTGTTAAATCACCACCACAGTACTTTGGAAAGTCGTGTGCCCGTTAACGAGGGCACGGTTTTAGGAAATGTACAGGCCGCTACAGGAGTGCCCAAATTCATCCGACTGGAAACGTTTCTACACTATTCTTTTTCCATGGCCGATAGCTCGGCCTAGTACTGCCGGTTTACTGGGTGAGATCTAGCTCCTTTTTTTTTTTTTTTTTTTTTTTTTTTTAAGGGTGAGATCTAGCTCATTCTGCACCCCTAACCAGTCCAGGCATTGGCTCAGAAGACTCAACATTCCTTGTCCCACGTTGAAGACCGTGTGAGATATAGACGACAGCGGGACATAGAGTTTTTTGCCCCGATGGACCGACAACTCGCCCCCCACCGACAGCAAGGACTGGAAAAAGGGATGACAAGGGAAGAGACTGTCGTCCTCCAAATGAAGGAGGAAAAGAAATCCGGTTGGGGTACTAGGAAATATCAATGACAGGCGATGACGGACCGTCCTGCAATGACGAATGGGTCATAGACAAGGGCATGTGCCAAATTGTCAAATTGGAAAGAGAAACACACTTCACATTTTGTGAGGGCCCTCACCACTAATAATGTTATGCTTGCGTCTCTCTGGTACAACTTTTTGATTTGGCCGCTTAGCGAGGGGGCACTGAAAAGTCTCCAAAGACAAGTGGTGGCCTTCCTGTGGTGAGGGAACAGTGACTGCAAGATTGCAATCACTACAGTAGCTTTGGACTAGGCGGTGGCGGTGTGACCTCGAGTCAAAGGCGACTGGGGAATCGTAGATCCTAACACCCAAGAGCAGGCACTCAGTCTACGATGGACCTTGAAGACATTGATCCTAGACGAGGATAGTCCCTCGGAAATACTGGCCCTCGTGTCTAGCAAATTGCAAGGATAGCCCCTGAGATTCCAGATTCTATTAGGCCCCTGATCTGGGTTGAGGACCGCTACTGGGCACCCCCCCACGACTAGAATGGAAAACAACAGCATTCTAAACTCACCCACAACCGCGCGCACGCGCGCCCGCCAAAGAAAGAAAAAAAGAAAAAAAAAAACCACTTGAAGTTAGAAGGGGCCTGGCCAATGACAACTTCTGGTCCAATCAGATTAAAATATGGAGGAGATTGCGACTTCCCAAGAAAACCCCACCGGAGCGGTGGGAGGAAATTGACGGATCACCAATAGATAGGGCCAAGTAATGTTTAGCTTAGCGGGCCTATGCAAAGGATGGATGAAGCATGGGATCAAGGGGAAGACCTACCAGGAAAACAGTGGAGCAGCTGTGGGGTACGCTGAGGTACCGCCACCACATTGAGCACTATCAGGAGGAGATAATCTTTGTTGTACCGCTTCACTAGTTTAATATTCTGCACAAGGTCCCCAGACTCCCCACCATTGAGGAAGGGGACTACGTTCTTTCCCCGAATACAACGTACGGTCATTATAGCTGACATTAGCTGTATTTGGGGTATGTTTCAGTCTAAATATAGCTATGATGACCGTACATTGTATTCGGGGGAAGAAGGTAGGTCAGACAGAGGGGGCACGGAGGCAAATGGGTTGGGGAGAGTCCAAATGGAAAGAGCGCGGGACGTCCTCGTGGAATTCAACTCCCTCAGAAAAGGAGGACGCTTGCATCGTAGTTTAGACCCCTTCGAATGGGAAGACGAAAACGACATCTGCAGGTTCCAAGTGTTGGGGGATGGAGAGGAACAACGAGCATAACATCCGTACCGATCGATTGCTTATCTTCCCCTGGACCCTGATACATGCCAATGGGCAATAGCGACATGGCCAACCAATGAGACCACAAAAACCTGCAAAATACAAACTTTGGCTAATCTAAACGTGAAAGCGACCTATTGAATCTTAAGATTCCAAAGGAATCTAACAGAGGTGGTCAAGGACGGTGGGCGAAACACGTCAATATCGACTGTGCCCTCCTCGACCTATATGCTGGTTCCAAGACGGCAAGCAAAAATCGGCCAATCACTCATCCTTGTATTGGCCAATCGTTCATCCTTGTATTGGCCAATGACTCATCAGTGCTTGCCCACCAACGATTAGTTAATTGGCCACACAAATTTGGAACAGCAAGGGATTGGTGGACCCATCGGTGCTTGCCCACATCCCTTCTGACTACCGGTAGTTAATCGACCGGTAGTTAATCCCTTCTGACTACCGGTAGTTAATCGACCAGTAGTTAGAAGGGATTAGTTAATCGACCACCAATCCCTTCTGTTCCAAATTTGTGTGGTCGATTAACTACCGTCCTTGACCACATCCCTTCTGACTACCGGTAGTTAATCGACCGGTAGTTAATCCCTTCTGACTACCGGTAGTTAATCAACCACACAAATTTGGAACAGAAGGGATTGGTGGTCGATTAACTAATCCCTTCTAACTACCGGTCGATTAACTACCGGTCGATTAACTAATGGTCGATTAACTACCGGTAGTCAGAAGGGATTAACTACCGGTCGATTAACTACCGGTAGTCAGAAGGGATGTGGTCAAGGACGGTAGTTAATCGACCACACAAATTTGGAACAGAAGGGATTGGTGGACCCATCGGTGTCAGCACTGTCTACAGATATTCCCCTCAGGGAGAATCGGCGAGACTGTAAAGCACATTCTCCTCCAATGCAAAGGGGCAAAGCTATATAGAGGTGGTGAGATCGCATTTGGAGGAAGATGACGGGCAGGGAACGCTGATCGTGTGACTGGAGAGCAACCTTGGGGGGCTACTCACCACCACAAGCCCAAGAGAGCACCTTCATCTTCAATATGTTTGGAATAGGAAAAATTGCGATCTTGCGGGTACTGTGGTGTGCAGACGCATTCACGTTTGGGAAGACGTCCGAGTGGGAGAAGAGGAGGTGGCATAACAAATCATGCAATATGTTCAAAAGTTCAAAATGAACTCACAATTAGATGTAGGGAGTCAAAGAAAAGAAAAACTTGGCAAGTCACACAGGGCTATGAATATTGGAAAGGAAATTACAAACTGCTGTTGGGACTGGCTGGGAGGGGAGGCATGTGGATGGGTTGCATAGGTGGTATGGGATGGGGACAGGGGGGAAAGGAGGCAAGGAGAAGTGGTGCAGTGGGACTATCGTCTAGTCTTCAACAACTGGACAGTCATCGGAGCGGACGTCCCGATGAGACCCTGTATGTATTCTCAGACCCCTTCCCCCATGCACGGGGGAATGATCGTGCAGATGGTGTGGTACTAGACATAAAATGTGACACAAATGACTCCTGGTTCCTTCGTAACAAGCTACCGAAGCTGCCAGGCGGTGAATCACTTTCCGCATATCAACGAGTACAGTGACGTGACCTGCTCGTTGAACGCGTACAATTCGACTTTTCCCATTATTAAACCTCGCCTGCTAGGGAGATCTGGGGGGCTGTTTGTGGGGGCAGTCTCAGTGGTCATCGGGGGTCGTAACTGAAGCAATGCTGGCCGGTGCTGGAGCAAGGTGGTGCAACTCTGTGACCTAGCCTGATGGGAGCATGAGGCCTGGAAGAGCTTCGGTTCGTGCTGAAAACGGCCATGCTGGTGGTGGTCGAAGGTGGATTGAATAGGTTTCACCTATCTGATTCGTGGTTGGGAGGCTTGTTGACACATAACTTCTGAATGTCTCTGAGTTTTCCTTTTCTTCAATTGTTCTTAGCCGAAGCCAGGTAATGGCCCCGGTAGCTCATCCTTGTATTCTGATAAGGGACGCTAGGCCCGGTTCCCAGCCGTGTTGCTCCCCACGAATAGATTGGAGCATCATCTCAAAAAAAAAAAAAAACTTCGGAAACCTCCAAAAGAAGCCAAAACAAAACCTATCCAAATACAAAAAATGAAAGGTAACTTCATTATGGTAGTATACCAACCAGTTTCAAAAAGCTCGATGGTATTACATTTCTTTTGAATTGCTAGAGCTTCA